TTTTTCTCTAGCTATCTTCTTCCACTCCCTCAAATCAGAGCCTCTAGTGGTCAATAACTCATCTTTACCTTATGACGCAAAACGTAAGAAAAGCCATCTCTCTGTCAGGTATGAACTTATCTTCCCACAGTTTCTTGACAGTTATTTGATGAATAGTCTCTCAGGCATAGATTTCAAAACTCTAAAACAGTCATATGCCAAAGAATTGATGGACTGCAATGCTCTGCCCCCTCATTCGTTGCTCTGTCTTCAAATAGTCCTCTTGGCACCTTAATCTGAGGGAAAAGTTTTCTAATTTTGGATTTTAAAGTCCTTCATCACCTAGCCCCTTCCTAACTTTCCAGTCTTCTAACACATTACTCTCCATGAAATCTACTGATGCCAGCTTCATTTTTGTTCCTCGAAAAAGATACTCTATTTCCTGACTCAGTACATTTTTACTGGCTGTCTCCTCTGCCTGGAATGCTTTTCCTCCTCATTTTCAATTCCAGCTTACTTGATTTGTTTCACATCTCATCTGAAATCCCACCTTCTATAAGAAGACTTTTCTGGTTTCCCTTGATGCTAATGACTGCATTTATCAGTCCTGATTTATCCAAGTTGTTTGCATGTTATCTCTCCCATTAGATTGTAAGCTCCATGAGGGCAGGGACAGCTTTCCCCCCTCTTTTCTTTGTATCTCTAGAGCTCCGCACTGTGCCTGCCTGGCACATAGTAAGTGCTTAATAAAAGGGTGCTGACTTGACTTGACTGGGGGCTCAGGATACCTTGTGTTACTCTTCAACATTTTATCTTGGAGATTTTGTCCCTTCACACCTCAATTTAGTTTGTTTACTTCATTCGAATGTTCTCTTCCCTTCTCAACAACCAAACTGTACATTTGAAAGGGGGTAGTTTCTTACATGTAAAATGAGTGAATTGGGCTAGGTGGCCTCTGGGGTCCTTTCTGACTTCAGATCTGAAGTTCCTACACCATGCTCCCTCCCCAGCCACATGGCATTGGGCAAGTCCCTTGATGCTCCTAGCCTCAGTTTCTTCTTCTGTAAAATATTGAGGTCAGGGTGGGGCTTTCGACTGAATGAGTCTTTGTTTCATTTTTGTCTATCTGTCACATAGTAGATAGTTGATAAATATGTGTTACCTGGTTTCAGCCCTGAGACTTAATAGGTCTTGGAAATGTGTGTGTGTGTGTATGTGTGTGTGTGTGTGTGTTTCCATTCTGTTTGTTCAAGCAGAGGTTGACAGATGAACCACCCTCTAGCCCTATTCCTGCAGTTGTGCTCTCACCATGCACCCTATGCCCTCCATTTGCAGTTGTGGGCATTTGAGCCTGGTCTTGAAAAGTGAGTAGTATTGCCAAGTTGGGATTCAGATGGGAGTGGGGAAGTAGGACATGTTCCAGGTGTGGACATAAAACCCTCATTGACCACAAGGCACTCTTTATGTTGATTCAGTCTTATCTGATTATAACTAGCTCACTTCCCCATATGACCTACATAGACTAATCCAATGTATTATATGATTGCCCTGTTTTCTTGGGCAAAACTCTAACTTCTCCTTTCTCATTTGGTAGAAGATCTGTCAAGGCCATGGCTGACATTGTGGACACTATGTCCAATTCCCTTTGCCTGGGATAATTTGTGTATGGGCTTGTCAGAGGCAGGGGGATAGACTAAATGACCTCTTGAAATCCCTTCCCACCAATGACTCTGGTGAGATCATAGTGTGACCCTATTTGGAGTTTTCTTGGCAAAGATACTAAAGTGGTTTGCCATTTCCTTCTCCAGCTCATTTTACAGATGAGGAAACTGAGACAAACAGGGTTAGATGACTTGCCGAGGGTCACACACTCAGTAAGTGTCTGAGACCAGGTTTGAACTCATGAAGATGAGTCTTCCTGACTGCAGGGCCACTGCTCTATGCACTATGGTGCTACCTGAGGATGAAAGATGTTGCAAAAAGACAGGAAGAAAAAAAAAGGATGTAGAGGTGTGAACTGGGAAGAGAAGAAAGGCAGAGAAAGCAGGGCCACTGTCTCTAGACTTTCCCTTTCTGACTCAGAGCCAATCAAGGTGGGCTGGGGTGTCAGTGAGGGGCTCACCAGTGTCTGATGTGATTCCTTGAGCTGGCTCATTGAAACTCTGAACAGGTTTCTGTCAGCTGTGTTTATGGACACAGGTCTACTGTGCACACACACACCCACACACACACTCACACACACTCTTCTCTGTCTTTCTCTCACACACACTCTCTTCTCTGTCTCTCTCTCCCACATACACACACACACACTCTTCTCTGTCTCTCTTTCACACATGCACTCTTCTTTGTCTCTCTCTCTCTCTCTCTCTCTCTCTCTCTCTCTCTCTCTCTCTCTCTCTTTCTCTCTCTCTCTCTCTCTCTCTCTCTCTCTCACACACACACACACACACACACACACACACACACACACCCATCACAGTCTGAGCCAACATAGTGCTGGCTAAGCTGATGCCTTGGAAATTCTGGCTCGCTTTCTCTCCCTGGGCCTCAGTTTCTTCATCTGTCAAATGGAGAGGCTGGACTAGACGATTGCAGCTCTAAGTCCTATGTTTCTGAATAAAGCTAAGATTTGACTTAGGGACTCACACCACCTTCTGGGCTTTTCGAGGAGATAAAAGTTGCTTTGAAAATAACATTGAAGGTTTGAAAAATATTCTGTAATGATCATAGGCTCATCACTCTAGACCAGGAAGGGACTTCATAGGAAACCTCATTTTGTAGATGAGGAAACTGAGGCCTGGTAAATGGAATACACCAAGGTCATATAAGACCACCAGAGGTGGGATTTGAGATGAGGTTTTTTGACTTTATAGCCAGTGTTTTCTTCCACTGAACCATGAAAACAGCTCCTCTTCATTCCCAGTCCTCTCCACCAACCTAACTGGGAGGGCTGAGTTGCAGAACTGGATTTCTGTGAGAGAAATAGTAGACTACATACCGTTCTTCTTGTGCTTGGTGCATGGCATTGGCCACACACTGAGGTTCACACAATATTTATTCATTAAGGACTTCTTCAGAGGTGACCTGGGGCTTCTGTGAGCTATGTCAGCAGAGCGTAGGCTCAGGCCTCCTCCCATACCAAGACGACTTTATCGCCATCATGGCAGTGGTGGTCATAGTGATGTATCTCTTAAGGTTTCCAAGGTTCTTTGTATTCATACTAGTTCTTACTGACCCTGTGAGGGAGGCATTTTGAACCCAGTTTTACATCTAATGAAACTGAGGCTCAGAGACTTTAAGAGGCTTGCCCATAGCTAGACAGCTAATAAGTGATTGGGGGTGAGATTTGAACCCAGGTATTGATGGTTCCAAGCCCCAAATTCTTTATTATACCACCCATGAACGGGCTAAATGGCCATGTTTGGAGGCCTAGCCTACATCAGTGCAAAAAGCCTTAAGAGGAAGATAATTTTCTTTGCAGGGTGGGGTGTGTGTGTGTGTATGTGGGAAGGGCCCATAATGACTTTTTTTTTTTTGGTTTTTAGGCAATGGGGTTAAGTGACTTGCCCAGGGTCACACAGCTAGTAAGTGTTATGTGTCTGAGGTTGGATTTGAACTCAGGTCCTCCTGAATCCAGGGCCAGTACTCTATCCACTGCAGCACCTAGCTGCCCCCCCATAATGAATTTCAATGAGTATTTATGCTAAGTAATAGAAAATCATGGCACAGTGGACAGAATGCAGGTTTGAGTCTCGCTCGTAATACAGACTGGCTTTGGGAACCTGGCCAAGTCACTTAACCTCTTAGTGTCCGAAGTAACTCTCTAAGCCCAGGTTACAGCAGGGCTGCAGGTAGGAATCAGTAGAGGGGATTTCCTCACTGGGAGATCAGTAAATCAGTTAAATCACAGGTCTATTCCCCTCCCCCATCCAAAAGAGGGAGGATTACCAAGTTATCATGGAGAGCCAATGTTGTATAAGAGAAAGAACTTTGGGGCTTTGGAAGCAGAGAATTTGGGTTTGAATAAATCCTACCCCAGCAGCCACTTATGACCTGGGTGATCTGGGGGCCCACTCTCTTTTGACCATTGTTTCCCTATTGTAAAACCACAGGATCAGACTAGGTACCTTCTGAGTTCCTTTCCAGCTCCAGGGCACTATAAAGCATCTATGTTGAAAAAAGTTGATTAAAAAAAGAAAGGATTCATGAAATATTAAAGGAAACGGCCTTTTGGTAAACACTAGAGGAAGCTTAAAGTTTAGATTAGGTGTTGTTTCTGACCTCAAATAGCTTCCTGTCTAGAATGGAGATGGGATAAAACAAAAACAGATTTATGTCGTAATCTCACTAATACATAATCAGGGCAGCAGAGAGATATGAAACAAAGTATAATATGAATTCCAAGGCTGGGGGAAATTAGGGAAGGCTGCCTGGAGGAGATGGCATATGATTTGGTCTTTAAAGGTTGGGTAGGGATTCAGGAAGCAATAAGGGAGGAGGAAGGGATTCTGTTTATTGGAAATAAGATTAGATAAGGCATGGAGATGGGTGAGAAGAAGGTGTCCTTCTGGATGTAGAGGAGAGACATTCAGTTTAGCTGAAGCAGAGGGCATTTGGAGTAATAAGAGATAAGGCTGGATGGGTGGTGGTGAGTGGCAGCCTATGGAGAGCCTTGAATGCGGGCAGGGTGCTTTGCACTAGGCTGTGCAACCCTGACACTCTGCAGGCTACCCACTCCTCCTTCCCCTGTTCCCCAGAGAATGCCAGCAGATAGTCTTCCTGCAATGCTACTACTTCAGGGATGGGAATGAACCAGGTGGTCCTTCCACCTGTAGAGTTCAGTGGATTTCACCTAACCCCACTGATCAGCTCTGAAAGCCCTTCCACCTCTGGTCTATGACCCACCCAACTGTTCTTCCTTTCATTCTCTGCTTGAACCCACCTGCCTCCCCCTTCTTAATTTAGGTCTTTGCCCTTGTCTGACCAGCTAACTTCTCCCTTCCTCCCTTTACCTTCCTCAGGAGACCAGCCAGCTCAGGACGTCCCAGGGACTTCTCCTGAGTCTGAGGAGGACCACGGAGAGGATTTTGAGTTTGACGACAGTGATGAAGAGGAAGAGGACTCCAGGACGGGCCCAGAGAAGGATGGAGAACCCCCACTTATCCACTTTGATGCTGCCCCCATCACTGGTGAGATGAATTCAGGAAGCCCATTTATGCTGGGCCTGGGGAGAAAGGGGAAGGTACAGAAAAGGCCCTTTTCTCCCTAACTGGCTTTTTTTTCTGATCCAGACTTGTCCTAGTAGGTCTTAACTCATCTCCTGCTCTTGGAGAGCTGAACTGGGAAAATTCCTTCAGATTCTGGGCTCTGGGAATTCCACATTCCTTGGATTTCTGGGACATCTGGGGCTACTTTGGCACTTTTGAAATGGATGTTTGGGCTGAGTTGGCTCTGTTCCAGAGACAGTTGCGCATAAGGAGGCTTCTCTGGAAGTCCTCCTCCCCCTTGCTCAGGCAGAGGAAGGGGCCTCCTGGAGATCTCTTATCCTGTATTTAGCAGCTCATTCCCCCCGGGGAGACCCGGAGAGGGCGGGTTGGGGGAGACAAAAGATCTCACTGGTATTCAGTAGTCGCTCCCAGGCTGTTGGACTCTGTCACTTGGGAAGTTGATCTGAGGACTGGATTGACAGGAACTTCCTGAAAGCAGAAGGACAACGGCCTCCTTGACAAGCTTGCCCTCCCTGACGCACTGCTGGTTGGCTGCCATCATCTGGAGTTTTGGGCTGGGCTGCTGGGGGGAGAACGGGGGCACCCTGGAAGATGTGGGGGAGTGTAATCATGGCTTACACAACTCCTGGCCTTCTCCTTGGGGGCCATGAGCCCTGGGGGAAAGTCCCTCTTGAGCTGGTGATGGGGGTGGGGTGCAGGTGAAGACCCATGAAAACTTAGCCTCAAACTGGAAACACCGGCTGAGATCTGTGTCCTCATGAGTCTCGCCTTCCCCAGGAAGAGGTTGGGAAATGGGGTGGGGATGTGCTGAGCCAAACCCGGGGCTAGCACAGACGAGACACCTGAGAGCAGGGCCAGCTTGTGGGGGGCGGGGAAGGGGGACACTGTAAGGAGACCATTGCCCTGACTGGCTCCCTTCTGTTTTCCCTAGATCCTGCAGCTGCCCAGCCCCCGACAGAGTAAGTGAACTCCCTTTCCTTTGCTTAGGCGTGTCCTAAAATGGTGTTAAAAGAGAAACCTGGGGCACGGGGGAGGAGGGAGGTGTAGGGAGTGAAGCCTGAGAAATAACCTTCATCAGCAACCTGGGAGATCTCAGTGACTGAGGGAGAAATGAGATGCTCAGATGGAACTCTTTCTCAAAGCATTAGCTGTATTTAAGAAGAATGCTATCATTTCCCCTGCCTTCTTAATTACTGGTGGTGTGACCTTGGGCACACCATTTAACCTCTGTGGTTCTCTGTCTGTAAAATGTGGGTGTTGGAATAGAGGACTCCTAACGGCCCTGCCGGCTGGAAATTTCTGATTCTGATGCCATTCGTTCTGCCCAGAAGACAGAGGACCCTCAATTATTCATTGTGTGACGTTGGGCAAACCCAGTCTCCTCGGGGCTGCTCCTCACTAATTGTATAATGGGGAGAATGATGTGCAGGGATGTAGCGTGACCAACTGTGCTTCACATTCATCCTGAAGGGGATCTTTATTCTCTACTGCTGTCTTGGCTATGAGACCTTGACTGACTGGCTTCCCCTTCTCTGGGCCTCAGTTTCCTCCCTGGGAAGAGGAAGGGATCAGATCAAATGATCTCTAAGATTCCTTCCAGCTCTGACATTCTGTGTTTTTTTTTAATTTATTTTCTATTTTGAAGTACCAGACAACAAATAAGATGAGTACTTTCCTGTATGTTGTAGAAAGAAAAAAGAGGATTGTCTATGAAATTGCAAATTTCTAATTTGAATAGGTTGCTTTTCTTGTAAAATATGTAACAAATTCAGTATGGAACTTTCAAAGCTGTCCTGCCTGTGCGTGGTTCTTTCTGGCCTTCCTTCTGTTTTCTTTTGTGCATTTAAAAAATACCTCCATAGAGCTCCTTCCTTCCTTCCTTCCTTCCTTCCTTCCTTCCTTCCTTCCTTCCTTCCTTCCTTCCTTCCTTCCTTCCTTCCTTCCTTCCTTCCTTCCTTCCTTCCTTCCTTCCTTCCTTCCTCTCTCTTTTTTTTGCTTTTTGGTGAGGCAATCAGTTAGGTTGAGTGACTTGCCCAGGGTCACACAGCTAGTAAGTGTCAAGTGTCTGAGGTGGGATTTGAACTCAGGTCCTCCTGACTTCAAGGCAGGAGCTCTATGTACTGTACCACCTAGCTGCCCCTCTTTCCTTTTCCCTCTGTAGTCCCTCCTCCTCCTCTCTACCCTAGCCTTCCAAAAACTGAAAGAAAAAAAAATTGTAACAAATATACATAGTTAAGCAAAATGAATTCCACTAATAGCCATGTGTGAAAATATATGTTTTATCCTGCATCTCAGTTCCAACATCTCTGTCAGGAGGTGGGTAGCACGCCTTGTCATCGGTCCTCTGTGGTCCTGGTTAGTCATTGCATTGACTTTTCAAAGTCTTCCTGAGATTTTGTTCTTTATAGTGTTCTTATATAAATTATTCTCTGGATCTGGATCATTTCACTCTGTATCTGTTAATACAAGTCTGACATTCTATATTCTAGTCCCTTCCAGCTCTGAAGTTTCTCTTCTGAGATTCCTCCGTGTTCTGACATCCTGTGTTCTAAAGCCCCTCCCAGCTCTGGCATTCAGTGTTCTAAGGCCCCTCCCAGCTCTGACATCCTGTGTTCTTAGGTCACTTCTAGCCCTGACATTCTGTGTTCTTAGGTCACTTCCAGCTCTGACATTCTAAATTCTAATTCATTTCCAAGTTTTGACATTCTGGATTCTAAGGCCTCTTCTGGATCTGATATTCTGCATTGTTAGGTCCTTTCCTTCTCTGACATTCCATTTTCTTTTTTTTAAGGCAATTGGGGTTAAGTGACTTGCCCAGGGTCACACAGCTGGTAAGTGTCAAGTGTTTGGTCTGAGGCTGGATTTGAACTCAGGTGCTCCTGACTTCAGGGCCGGTGCTCTATCCACTGCACCACCTAGCTGCCCCAACATTCCATGTTCTAATTCCCCATCCATCATGAGCTGCCTTCGTTCCTAGAAAGTGCATCCTCTTTCCCCCTGCCCCTTCAGACCCTAAGGTTTCCTCACGGCTCAGCTCAGGCGTCGCCGCTCTTTGGGGAGCCTTTCCTTGGACCTTGCCGATTGGTAATGGGTTCCCCCTTCTCTAGTTATCTTGTATTTATCAGCATGAATATTTTATTCTCCTTTCTGCTAGTTAGAATCTTAGCTTCTGGAGAACACTATCTTCATAACCGGAGCACTTGTGTCTTTCACATCTGAGGTGCTTAACTAATAAATGCTTGTTGAAATAGAAAGGGAGCCCAAAGGGATTTGGAGTCTGGGTTCAAATCCAGCCTCTGACACTTATTACCTATATGACTTCGGGCAAAGTTAATGAGCTTCCCTGGGCTTCTGTTGCCTGGTGTGTAAAATGATGGGGACTGGACTTCATGGCCTTGAAGGCCCCTTCCCGTTCTAGATCTAGGAACTTCTAGACCTAAGTTGGACTGAATGGAAGAATATCCCAATTCAGGCATGCCTCATGGGGGGATGAGTCTGGCTAAGTTGAATCAAGGAGGATAGTTTAGAAGATTCTCTCCTAAACTTTTCAGCAGGAACAGGTGCCCCCTACCTTTACTCTCTGAGGAAATGGGAAGTGTCCCAGCATAGGACATTCAGTCCTTGATAACAGGAAACCTCTAGGATTTGTTGCTGATATTCACTGCTCAGGCTAATGAGGTAATGTGCACGGGAGGTAGAGTTTTAGGGGAAGGAATATGATTCAGCTAGGTGGTACAGTGCATAGCACACTGGGCCTGGAATCAGGAAGAATCTTCCTGGGTTCAAATCTGGCCTCAGACCCTCCCTAGCTGTATGACCCTGGGCAAGTCACTTAACTTGTTTGCCTTAGTTTTCTCATCTGTAAAATGAGCTGGAGAAGGAAATAGCAAAACACTCCAGTATCTTTGACAAGAAAGCCCCAAATGGGGTCATGAAGAGTCAGACATGACTGAAAAATGGAATAAAGTTCTGACAAAATGACTGCTAATTATCTAAAAATGGAAAAAGAAGAGAGACATAAAAAAAAAATCCAACACGTAGTAGCCACATAGGGAACTCTCTTGATATAGAAGAGAGGTTGTTCTACTTGGCTCCAAAGACAGAAAAATTGAGAGCAATAGGAGAATGTTAATTATTAGGAGGCAGATTTCAGATCCACTTAAGGAAAGACTTCCCAACCGTGATAGCTGTCCCTACTGGTGGAGCAGTGAGTTGCCATCTTTAGAGGTCTTCAGCAGAGGCTAGATTTTGTGTTAGAGGGATTTTGTAGATCCGATAAATGCTTTGGTTAGACTAGGTGCCCTTGGAGGTTCCTTGTAGTTTTAGGAGATTCTAAATTCTCTTATAAAGTAGACTGATTCCAACTCTCTCGTCTATGAACTGTTCCCTGCTAATCCCAGCGGTCACTTTGAAAGAATCTGATTTCTTCCTTTTCTTCCCTCTCTATTGAGTCCTTTGTACCCTCATGCCTCTATGACAGGTGAGAGGACTTGGCTTCCCTGCTCCTGTAGAGTGGTCACCACTGCCAGGTCACAGGTCTCTGAGTGTGAGGGATTTGGAAGTTTAGTCGGTGAGGAAGGATTTCCAGGGATAAGGAAGGGAGGAGCCTGGGACGAGGAGTCAAGAGACATTATTTGTGCTTCTAGCTCTGTCATAGGTGAACTCTGGGACCTGTGGACAAGTAATTGAATTGAACAGGGCCTCAATTTCCCTATCTGCAAAGTGGAAACAATAGTGCCCTTCCTTTGCTTATTTCAGTCTATTGCCCCATAGGGCCCTTCCCAGGGTGGGGCTGGGGCCTGAGGGTTTGATGGAGAATGTGGCTAGGCAGGGTTCATGGTGCTGGCTGAACCCACTTCTGTTCTACAGTGGGGAAGGAGGGAGGGAGCAATGATGGGGAGGTCCTTGGGTATGGGGCTGGAGCTGGGTGGACCTGGTGATTAGATGGAAAAGGCCAGAGGCAGAAGGTGGTGTCAGGGACCAAAGATTCACCACAAGAGAGCAGACCAGCCAGAGGGGAAATCCTGGTTTTCAGGCTCCAGAGTTCAACAGGCAGAGCTGACTGGGGGACTGAACCAGACAAGGTACACAGCACCCCTCGACTTTTGCATGAGTGTGTGTGAGCTCTAAGTGTGGCTGACCACCGGATGCCCACTTCTTCCAGCTTGTCCCAGCCCTGTCAGTTCGAGGACTCCTTGTTCCTTCATTGCCTTTCCCTACCTTTCAAGAACTTAGCTGGAGCTCTCCAACCCCTTCCTGCCCCCATGAAACTCAAGGGAGTTCCCAGCTCTGTAGAGAAACCGTATGACAGCCAGGCCTGGTGTGAAACAGCTTGGTGAGGGGTATAGAGGGTTGGACCTGGAGTCAGGAGGGTGGATTCATATCCTACATGAGACACTTATTAACGGTGTGAGCTTGGCTAAGTCACCTGGCTCGCTTAAAACTCAGTTTCTACATCTGTAAAATAGGCATTATATTGCTACTAGTAACAGCTAAATTCTAGGGTTGTAGTGAGGGTAATATATAAAGTGCTTAGCACATTTTGAGGAGCTTAGTACAAGTATCACTCTCTACAGGTAGCCTTTTTACCCCTGATTCCCCTTGGCTGCTAGTGACCCCTCCCCCCCAAAAAGATTACCTTGCATTTATTTGGGTTTTTTTTTGTGTGTGTGTATTTATATACATGCTTCTATGTGTACATGTTGTTTACCAGGTAAGATTCTGGAGGACAGGAACTGGTTTGCTGCACCTAAGATAGTATAGGCAAACAGAAGGTGCTTAATAAATGCTTACTAATAAATGCTTGCTGATTGTTTGATTGAAGTGGCAGTTAAAATTGTGAGGACAAGTGAGATTTTACAGGTGTTAGGAATTCCTTGGATACTGGTTAATTTTTAACAAGATGGCATTGGTATTATTTATTCTAGTTGGCCATCCTGAGAACCTTGGGGTTTCCTAG